TCACCAATATGGTGCATTCAGCCACTATGATGTATTAATGTGGATTTTTTTTTTTGAGGCAGACCAGTTTGTCAGGCCCAGAAAGGTGAAGCAGATGGTATTCCCACCGCCTTTATGCATCATCCCCAAACCTGTAAATAGTAAAGTCCTAGCTGCTGATCGAAGCTATACTTTTAAAAGTGAAACAGGTATAATAAATACTAACTCTTAAACAGTATTATTTCTTATTTTGAAACGGTAAAATATTATTTTGAAAAATATAAAATTAACAGTGCCATGTCTGCTACTTACATCCTTTCAAAGATTGATGAAAGAAGGGATGTAGAGATTAAGAGAAGGAAAAGTGAGAGTAAAGAAAGAAGGGATGGAGACACTGAGAGAAGAGATAGAAATAAATAAAATAACACTTTAAGTATGATTCCTTATAAATGGTATATTATAATATGCATGTACAATCATGTGTTGTCTTCTATCTCACTATGTGTGCTCAGCCCCCTCCTGTTCACGCTATGACTGCATCCCCCGACATGGAGAGAACTCTGTTATGAAGTTTGCGGACGACACCACCATTATCGGCCGGATTTCAAACAACCATGAGACTTCATATCGGGAGGAAATTCATAATCTTGTAGAATGCTCAGAGAACAACCTACTGCTCAACGTCAGCAAAACCAAAGAGCTGATCGTTGATTTCAGGAAACAGGAGATAAAGATAAACACTCCTGTCTACATCAGTGGAGCTGAGGTGAACAGTTTCAGGTTCCTGGGAATCAGCATCACAGAGAACCTGACATGGTCATCTCACATCTCCATGCTGGTGAAGAAAGCACAGAAACAACTGTATTTGTTGAGGAAGCTAAAGAAGGCCAAATTCCCACACCAAGTTCTTGTCAGCTTTTACAGAGGAGCAATAGACAGCATCCTGACTGGAAACATCACAAACTGGCATGGGATGCGCACGGTCCAGGACCAGAAGGCTCTGTAGGGGAGCACAGAAGACCATTGGTACCCATCTCCCGGGCAACAGTGATATCGGTGAGGTGAGATGCCTACGCAGAGCCCAAAGGGCAGTACCCACCCAGCCACAGCCTGTTCACCCTGCTGCCTTCTGGGAAGAGATATAGAAATTTTAGCTGCCCCACCACCAGACTGCAGAGCAGAAGGGAGTTACAAAACTCAATTTCACTCTATAACTTGTTATATTGTGACAATAAACCTACCTACCTAGCTAACTAGCTATTTGCTTGTTGTTTCTGCCATGTTGGATCATATGCCCCGATGACATCACAAAAGAACCCTCCTAATCAAAGTGATGACCCACTGAACAGGGTCATTTAGAATGTTCTTTGATGTTCTTTGATGTAGTCAGTCTGTGTCATCATGTGTCATGTTCTGGAATGTTAGGTGAGCCTTTAATGCAGTCTGCTCAGTACCTGATTCAGTTAGACAAGGGAACACGAAGAGACGAGATGCAGACATTAAGCAGATAGGTTTCAATAAACCGGGTAGAGTCACCGATCTCCAAATACTTTCAAACTATCCTAAAGTAAGCAAATATATTTTTATTTTGAAGAAGAGCTAGAAAGTTTGGGCAAACAATTCAAGCGTGCTGCTCATCGCAGCATGTCTTCACCATACCGCACGTAAAAAGTTGTCTATTTAAACCTTCAGGTTGATTTTATTCTGTATTTTTTGTGTCAAATAATCAACTTATTAAGTAAACAGATCTTATAGATACTGGAGGGAGTCACAGATGTCCAAATACTTACCAACGGTCCTAAGGTAAGCTGATGAGTTTTTCTATTGATCAAGGCCCAGATGTTTGGATATATACATCAAGTGTACTGCTATATTTTACTAACACTTGATGACGTCTACTCATAGTAGATTGTTGTCACCATACCCCATGTAAAAAAATGTCTATTTCAGGAAAACGGTTGTTTTTTTCCCTGTATTTCTCTTGTTGTCATCTCATCAGATCATTAAGTAAAGAGATTTAAATGAAAGTGGATGGAATCACAGGTTTTAATCTACCATCAAACGTTCTTAAGGTAAGCTGACGATTTTTAGTATTTTATCAGGCTCACAGGTTTGGGTAGAAACCTCATGCGTACTGCTACATTTTACTCACACTTGATAATTTTTATTGATTGATGCATGTTCTCACCATACCCCATGTGAACAATTGTCTATTTGAGGAGAAAAGTCCTTTTTTCTGATCTTTTTTTCTTGTTTTCAACAGATCAGGTCATTAAGGAAACAGATTTGAATGAAACTGGATGGAGTCACAGGTTTTAAACTACCATCAAACGTTCCTAAGATAATCTGATGATTTTTTATTATTTATTGGACTAATATGTTTTTTCAGCAGACACCTCATGTAAAAAATCTCTATTTAAGGAGAAAAGAGTCCTTTTTTCTGATCTCTTTTTCTTGTTTTCAACAGATCAGCTCATTAACAAAACAAATTTGAATGAAAGTGGATGGAGTCACAGGTTTT